CACCTTTATTGGCTGCTTTTCTCTTCCTGCCACACTGCCCACTCCCCTACTGGCATTTCCTGGGAGCATTCCTGAATGCACTACTTCCCCTTAGACACTTGCCTTGGGGTGTACTTCTGGGACAGTGCAAGCTACGATATACCTCCTAACACCTTGGCTGCTTTCTCCTCCCTTCTCCCAATCATCTCTTGTTAAGCTGTAAGCTGCTCAAAGCCAGAGAAACTTGTTCTTATTTCCTTTGCCTTTCCCTTAGTACCTAATCATGTGTGGAACCTTAGATGCTCCATAAATACAAACTGAAATCATTTATTGATTCACAGATACCCCCAAACTACAGATATTGGGCTAAGAGTCAATACTCAATCCCTCTTCCTTGCAGATGGTTGGCTCCCGTTTAAGATGCTGCTCAAATCCATGACAACTGGTAAATGTTCTCAGGCACCAATCCTTTCCCAAGTCATTGAAACAACTGTCCTGCTAAGTAGAAGATGAGCCTTTGACCTGGCTGAGGACACATGTGCCCTCTTGACTGTCCTTGAAAATGCCTTTGGGGATCAGTGGGTTGATGTGACCCTGTAAGATCCCAGTCAAAATCTGATTTGTACTGGTTGTCCTTTATTGCCCACTCATCTCCCTAAAGAGCATATAGTGTACAGTGTCCTGTACTCGTCTGCTGGAACAGAATTGGATAAGCTGATAGCTGGGCTCCCTTCCAACTCAGAGCTATGAAATCTCTCCCAAGTATCATGAGATGACCAAGCACTCAGGGGGTCAGGCTCAGAGGAGAGCCTTAAGAACAGAGACAGAGATTCTACTATGAACCACGTATCTAACATATACTATTTCAATTAATCCAGGCTTCCAGCCAGGGTAATTACCTTCCTGGCCCCATTTTATAGATGAAGAAACCAAGGCTCAGTGAAGTTAAGTTGCTTACCCAGGATAAGGTGCTGGTTGGCAGAGCTGGCTGTGCCTGTGCCTGGCTGCCTTCAGAGGCAATATTCTTTCACTCACTCTGGACTGATGCTCCATTGAAAGGTTTGGTTGGGTTTTATTTAATGCAGCACCATTTGGCAGGGTAAGGACATGTTAGACTAGAAGGAATGTATCAGTTAGATATTGCTGCATAGCAAACTGTCCCAAACATTAGTGGCTTTGCATAGCAATCCTTTACTCCTGCTCACACATCTGTGAGTTGGCTGACCCAGGGTGGGCTCTGCTGGGCAACTTTGCATCAAGCTGCAGGTCTGGCTGGCCTTGGGTCCTTGCTGCAAATTGGGCCAGATCAGTTTCACTGGGGTTTATTCTAGGACCCTGAAGGGGCAGCAGTTATCCAAGGAGCTAGCTCTTCTCTCAACATTGATAGAGATATGAGAGAGAAAGTGGAAATGCACAATGAAGCTCAGAACTGGCATGCTGTCATTTCAAACTTGTACTATTTGCCAAAGCAAATCATGGTCAAGTCTAAGTCAAGGGACTGGGAGTTACTCTGCCTCTAGTGGGAGGGGACTGCAAAATCACCTGACAAAGGTGGAAAATACAGGGAGAAGGTGAAGAATTGGGGCCAATAATTTTATTTATGAGAAAAACTAAAATCAACACAAAAGAATGACTGGCTGATGGGGAGCATTCTTAGTGTCTGTAGAGAAAATTGTGGGGAACAGGGTTCATCCTCAGTGTCCCTCCAGTAACACTACACAAGGAGCATCTACCCTGGTTTTCAATATCTGTGCTAGGGTCCCTCTGTAAATGCTCCTTAATCTTGGAAACCTGTCTCCTCCAAGTTTCTCAGCTCCCTAATCTTCCCACATGATCCTAGACATCAACCTGATTAAAGAGACAAATTTCAGCAGTATGGGTGGTGTGTGGAAATAGAGTGAAGAACAAAGCTACTTCCCATTTTCCTTTCCCTAGAGCCAACCAGCTCTTGTCTTAGAAAATGAATGACTTTGGGGTACCTGGGTGGCTCAGTCGGCTAAGCGTCTAACTCTTGGTTTAGGCTCAGGTGCTCAGTATGGAGTCTACTTCAGATTTTTTCCCTCTTCCCTGCTGCCCAACCTCCCCCCGCCCACATTTGCACGTGCATGCACATGCTCTCTTTCTCTCTAAAATAAATAAATAAAATCTTAAGAAAAGAAAATGAGTGACTTCTAAATCTCATGCCTATCTCAGTAGGGAATTAATCCAAGGATGGGCTGTACAGGAGGGAGCAAGGGAAGGGCTCTGGATGGTCAGAACCTGAGACCTTGGGAGATGGAGCTATTTAAATCTTTGGGCCAGCCAGTTGGCTCTCCTTGGGGACAACTAGAGAAGCAGAGCTAGAAAGAGTTAAACAGACCCCAATGGAAATATCCCAATCATATTATGAACTTAGGAAATGTAACATCTGTGAAGCATCCAGGAAAAAAAGCATTGAACCAAGTTGATGACTGCGGTCTTGATTAGTGCAGTCACCAAAAATTTCTGCTTCTTCTGAGTTCAGAAGAGTCCTTGACCCTTCGAAGTTAGGTATGGCCATGTAATTTGCTTTGTTGTTTTGTTCACAATGAAATGTGAACAAATGTTGCTTTGTTCACAGTGAAATGTGAGCATAAGTGGAATATATCACTCTGTGTAGAGGCTTTGAAATACAGTGTGTAATTCACCATGGCACCTTGCCACTGCTGTGGTACTCATGGAAACTTTTTTTTTAAGTTTTATTTAGTTAAGTAATCTCTACACCCAACATGGGGCTCAAACTCATGACCCCAAGATCAAGAGTCACATGCTCTTCTGACTGAGTCAGCCAGGTACCCCAAGCATGTATTGAAAGAGAATTTCCATCTACCTAACTTTGAGTGATTACAATAGACAGAGCTCTCCTGATGGCATATACTAGATATGAAGCCTAAGACAGAAATCAACATTTGCTGGCTAAATCACTGAGCTTTGGGGGATTGCTTGTTACAACAGCATAATCTGACCTATTCTGACTAATATAATCATCCAACTCAACCAACAGAGAGATGTATCAAAACAAAGAATTTGGGAGTGACAAAGCTGGGTATAAAATAATTATACCAACAAGGATTGATGATAAGCTCTTAAATATACAACTAAGACTAAACAACTGCAGGGATTAAGCTTATGGGAAGCATGTAAATGCTATAAACCTTGACAAGTTAAAAATAATACTAAAGCCAATTTTTAAAAAAATGAGAGGAATAAGAGTGCTAATTTCTTTTTACTCTTGTTTCTTTTTTTTTAAATGGGAATTCATACCATCTAATATTGAAAAACAGAGTTTAAAATATACCTAATGATACTAACCTCTCTCTTATTGTTTTTCCCATATTATTCTTTACACTTGGAAGAAATTGATTTAGAAAGGACTATATCAAGTAATGAAGAAAAAAATTCAATGAAGTTCAATAATTCTCTCAGTTCCACTTTTTTTCTTCTCTTGAAATAAAATTAAATTCTAACACTTTTGTTTAAGTTGGGTTCTTCTTGAACCTGACTGAAACTAAAATTGAGTATTTCCTAGAGGGGTGATCCCAGGAAACCCTGATAGTAGAGTGGGAGGAGAAGAAAGCAAATGTCTGGGGGTGTTAAAAGGGTAAGGGGCCACTGTGGGCAGCTGGGCTCAACCCTGCAGGGAAGATACCACCTCAGAGCTGTCCCACCCAAAGCACAAGGAAGCTGAGGCATTTAGCCATCAATTTCCACCCACGACTGGATGTTAACTCCCTGTGCATGGTCGAATCCCCACTCCTGCAACCAGAGAACCCTGCTGGCAGAGGCTATTCAGGAGCTTGCTGAGGGAAGTTACTGGGTTCTATTAGAACAGTGAATGCCAACAGGATAAGGCGCCAGTCACCAACATGTGCCAACATTTTTTTGAAATTATAAAGCCTGTATAATGGATTCACCTCAACTGAATTATGCTAAGTGAAAGAAGTCACTCTTAAAAGGCTACATTAGTATGTGATTACATTTATTTGGCTTTCTGGAAATGTCAAAACTATAAGGACAAAAACAAGATCATTGGTTGGCAAGGGCTGGGGAGTGGCACTGGGATGAATACAGGAGGGCATTAGGGAACTCTTTGGGGCATTGAAAGTGTTCTTCGTCTTGATTCTGAAGGTGGTCATAGGACAATGCATTTGTCAGAAGTCATAGAACTACTATACCTAAAAAGGGCAAGTTTTACTGGATATAACTTATACCTCAGAAACCTATGATGCTCTTAAAAATATGTCTGCCATATTAGTTGCCATTTCAAGGAAGTTTAGTTCTTTTCTCTTGAGGACTTAATGACTTGCTTCTAAAAATAGAAGAAGGCAGAAGTGATACAGTGTGAGTCAGAGACTGGTTCATAAAAGGCACTGTGGCTTCCTGCTTGCTCTCTTACTCCCTCTCGGGTCAGCCACTTTGGGGGAAGCTAGACGCCATGCCATGTGTAGTCCAATGGAGAGGCCCACATAAAGAGCAGCTGAGGCCTCCAGTCAACAGCTACATGAGTGCAACGCCTTGAAGTGGAGCCTCCAGCACCAGTCAAACCTTCAGATGACTGCTGCCCAGCTGCCAGTTGCAACCTCATGGGAGACCCAGAGACAGAACCACTCAGCTAAGCCACTCTCAGTTCCTGACCCTAAGAAACTATGTGAGGTAAAATTGTTTGTTTGAAGCAGCTATGCTTTGGGTTCATGGGTCATGCAGCAATAGATAACCAATACACTGGCTTAAAACTTAATCCCCACCTTAGAAGAAAAGATTCTTTTATATAAATTTATGCTGAAATACTTGGCATGATGTTCATGGGAAGTGAATGACAGTGGTTTTTGGGTGGGTGAATTTGGGGATCATTTGTCTTTTGTCTTGTCCTCTTTTATATGCATGCATGACTTTGTATAATGGACGTGTATCCTTCAAGTTAAACACAAAAATAATGACTCCAAGCCTGGGTGCCAGTACCGAGTGCGCCGTTTACCCAGGGGTCAGAGCCAGGAGGTGTGTGTCTACAGGAAGCAGGAGCACCACTCCTTCAGACAATGAGAACTCTCCTGGGCCTCACACTCGGTGGCACCACAACAACAGATGAGCCACTTCTGAAACTCTGCTTCGTTCTTGTGCATCAGAAGGAACTGTCCCAACAGGATGTAGGCCTGTGGGGCGGGGGAGAGGTAAGGAGAAAAACGGGAAAGGTTATAATAAACCAACCCAGAGGTGCTCTTCTCCAACACCAAGACCCTCGTAAAAATCGAAGGAAGGGGCCCAGGTCAGGTTTGAGGGACAATGACAGCACCTGGGCGATGGGGATTCTGGGACCGGCCCTTGGTGAGATGTGAGGCCAAGTGAAATGCACATCTCTTGGGTCGGGTTTGGGGGGATGTTCAGCCTGGGGTAAACCAGAACCTGTCTTTCTCAACTTTAATGAGCACATATATCACCTGGGACCTTGTTAAAAGGCAGGTTCTGACTCACTAAGTCTGGAGGGGGGCCTGAAAGTCTGCATTTCCAACATGTCCCCAGCTGATGCTGGTCCAGGGACATTTCGAGTAGCAAAAGCATACTCCCTTCTGGCCTCTGATCTAGTATTTCTCTCTCTTTTCTTAAAAAAGTAATTTCTCCATCCAACGTGGAGCTCAAACTTACAATCCCAAGATCAAGAGTTGCACGCTCCACCAACTGAGCCAGCCAGGTGCCCCTAGTATTTCTTTTTAACACAGACACACGCACACACGCACACATGCATGCACACATAAAGAAGAATCAGAGATGCTCCCCACCCCATCACTTTCTCAATCCATCTTGCAGAGTTTCTAACTCTCTTCGCTGTTGACATTGTGGATAATTTTGCGCTATTGGGGTGGGTTGGGGACTTTCCTGTGCATTGCAGCAAGTTTAGCACCATCCCCAGTCTCTACCCACTAGATGTAGGAGCAGTCCCCCAGCCCCCCAAATTGTGACAGTCATAACCACCTCCAGACATTGCCACATGTCCCCTCCAGACATTGCCACAAAAGCTCCTTCGACCAAGAACCACTGCACGTGGGACTGGCAGATGAAGGGCATCTTGACACCAATCTGTTCTTGCAAAGAAGCTGTGTAACCTCGGGCAACTCACTTAACATGAAGTGAGGACCCCAAGAAACAGGGTCTCAGTTTCTGCATCGCCTGAAGGCACACAACATGCCCTGCCCCACCTTGCAAACTGAATTAAGTAGATTCAGTGTGAAAACATCAGGAAAATGCAAATTCCTTATTTGTCCTGGAATGCTTAGCCTGTGGGAGGAGCACAGAATGTAAAACACGATAAACCTTGCCCATCCTTCCCTTCTGAAAAGTCTGTGCGCATGAAAAACGCACGTAGTTAATACTAAGTACACCAGGACTGATAGCTCTTCGGCATTCTCTCATTTTCTAACTACTATTCTACAACTTTTCACTAATCTCTTTATAATTTTATCACATGATTATTGACAAGGAGCAAGGACTACATGGAGAAAGGGACGCCCAAGACCGAGTGGCCACAAATTGACTGAGCCGCTCAATGGTGAAGCCTGGAGATTTAAGGTCACATAAACGCCCGTCATTCGCGGCTGGTTTGGGGGCTCTCCAGCCTGGAATGAATGAGAACCAGTGTCCACGCCTGCCATCCTGGGCCTTCTCCAGGAAAACCTGCTGCTGTCTATTTACTCTCAGTTACATAAAACAAAGCAAACTTCATCTGAACCAAAGGGAACATTTTTTTTTTTAAAGAAATTAAATAAAAGCTGAATTGCAGTTGTAAAATGTACCCAAGCTGTTGGAACTTGGGGTTTCTTATTTTTAGTCATGGTCCTGTTGTTGAAAAGATTAAAAAAACAGCCAGGATGTCCTGGTCATTTTCAACTGCTACTTGAATCATCTTTTTAGAAAAGCCATATTATTGCTTAGAACGATCTCATATCTTTGTATTTTCAGTGCTGATTTTATGGAGATGTCTTTTAATTCAACATTTTAAAAAAAATGAACATCTATTGAATGTTAATTGAGTCAGGTGCTGCAGTGGGTGTGGGGGGTGGGGTGCAGAGGTGAATGACAGGATCAAGGAACAAGGAGCTCTGTCCAGGGAGAAAGAACAGTAGTGAAGATGATAAATAATAGTAATAATAATGATAATAGTAATGGCGCTTGAGGACCTTTGATGGGCTCCAGACCCATGGCACGTTTTAACCCCGTCCCATTCTCCAGATGGAATCACTGAGAATAGAAGAGGTTGACCCTTGTTTTCCTGAGCTCCATGTTTGCCCATCCCGACTGTCCACATCTGGCCTCACACCTCTGGTGGCCTCTGCCCTTTTGGAGGCCCCGCTGTTGGCATCAGCTGGTCGGGTGATCAGAGCCTCCATATCCCCACCAACCTCAGCAGCTGGGAAACCAGGGAATGCATGCCATGTAGGACCACAGGCAAATTTTCCTGCAGGAAGAAGGGCCTCTTCTCATGGCCTCTGGAACCAAGTTGCCACTGACTGTCCCTCGTCCACTCGCTCTGCCACCCTCCAGGGGTGGGGAGGAAAAGTTAGCCATCGTCATGGCCCCCATCACCGCTCTGCCCAAAGCCTGTTCTGTTTCTCCACTGGCTCCAGAAAGTGACCAAAGCTCACAAAAATCTGGCTGCAGGGAGGGTGACACAGAGACATGGGAACGTTGAGCAGACATGGCCTAGTCCCACCACCTTGGACAGAGGCCCCCCCCCCCCCCCCCCCGCCTTGGTTTAATGCTTTGCTGCGGCCATCTTGAAGTCCTCAGTATAGGGGAACAAGGGGCCTCATATCTTCATCTCATGCTAGGTGGCTGGTCCTAGTCCATGCCAATGAAAATCTTCCATCTTCACTGTGACACCTGGCCTTTTCTTTTCTTTCATTAACTGTTTTTTTATTTGAGCAAAGTTGACACACGTTTGTTTCAGGTGTACAATATAGTGATTTGACACCCTGCAGGTTATGCAATGCTCCCCACAAGTGTACCTTCTGTCACCTGACCTTTGCAAACACATCCGTGGTCTTGGCCCTCGCTGATTCTCAGGTTTCATTCTCACCTCTGCCTGCAACGCCAGCTCCTTGGAGCCTAGAGTGAATGCATTTACATGGCCACAAGACTTCATTGGGGGATCAACAACTCTCTTTTTCTCTAACCGGGTTTTGGCTCTTCAGCCTTCATGGCCACTGGTAGCCAGTGACAATCTTGAAAATCCAGTACCTCTTGGTCATTTCTGGTTTAAAACTCTTTGTCTTAGTGCGAATGCTCGATCCAGTGCAGGGCTTGCCCCTTCTTCTTTCTTCTCCATGCCTCCCTGGGATATACTTACACTAAAAAATTATTTGTTTGACTAAAATTCAGATTTAATGGAGCAGGTCCCTGTATTTTATCTGGCAACCCTACGCAGGGTAACGCCAAACTTCCACAACTGACTCCTTGCAGGGCCCAGACATTAGGCAGTGGGGGAGCCTCTGCATGACTACCCCCCACCCCCAGAGACTGTCTGCCCAGATGCAAATTTCACCTCTCTCACCCCAAGTGACTTTGAGCAGGTCACGCTCTGTGGCTCTGTTTCCCCATTGGTAAAACAAAGGTGAAATAGTATACCTTATAGGATTTTCTGATGCTTTGATGAAATATAAATAATGCACTGAGGACAGAGCCTGACATGTAGCAAACATCATGCATAAGTTCTGCTGTTAGGAGAGCCTTAGGGAGCAGGTGGGCACCCATACATACACCCCTTACTGATCTTCCAAGTATCTTTCCGGAGGAAGATTCAGGTTCAAGGATAGGACTTTATAGTGTCTTCAAAGAACATTGAACCAAACCAGATTCTCTGGGCTGGTAAACTTACTTCCCCACTGTTGGATAACCTCAGGGTTATCCCCCGAGTAATGCACCCGCCCCATAGGGCACTGCTCAAAGTCCCTGAATTTACTGAGTGCCTGGAAATTCACTCATCCCTGGGCCAGGTTTTCATAGGGAGAAGAGGAGTACAAAGATTGTAGAACCCTCCTGTGCTTCACAGGAGACGTGGGAGAGCCCCAAAGGCAAGCTGTGCCTCTCTAGCATAATGAGTGCGGGTACTCAGGCCATGTGTGGAAAGAACAGTCAACAGCACAGATGTCACAGCAAGGGGTCCTATTGAATACTCAGTGTTCAGAAGCACGAGCTTATCAGGCTGGGGTAGGCGGGCAGAAGGAAGGCATTCTTCCCAGAGAAGGTCCGTTGTGAATGGGGTCCTGAAGTGGGTGAATGTCCATTTCAAGAGAGGCCTGCGGGCAGGTGGTCCCGTCTGTGTTTGTGATTCATGGACAGTGTGGCTTGGGTATGAAGTGGGTGGGGGTGGGGAATATAAGACAGAGCTAGAGCCAGGCCATCAAAAGCCTCTTGAGCGTCTTGTGCACCAACATATTTTCCTTTCCTGGTCATTCCTTTGTCCCTTTCGGCCCTTCTGCTGTTAAATCTAGACCAGCACTGTCCAGTAGAAGTTTAATGTGAGCCAGCCACATACACAATTTTTAATTTTCTAGTAGCCACAGGAAAAATGTGGGGGGGATGAAACGGGTGAAATTAGTTCTGATAATATGCTTCATTTTCTCCCATATTTCACAAAAATCATTTCAACATGTAATCAGTAAAAAACTATTGATGAGATACTTTGCATTGGGTGGGGTACTTTAAAATTCTAAATCTTTAAAATAAAATCACAGTGTGTACTTTATATGCATAGCATTAAAGCATTATTCAGATAGGTGCTCCGCAGATACAAATGGCCAGTGGCCACAGTATCAGATAGCAGAGATCTAGATTCTCAGAGATCTAGATCTGCCAAAGCTGACCGCCTGGGAGAAGAGCGGGCACAAAATACCTCAGAGAGAATTCAGCTAAATTTTTGACTGTCAAAGTCCTGAAGAGACTTGGGTGAATCCATAGAAGAATCAGTAGTTTTAAAAGTCATGGCATAGCTGGGGGAGGGGACAGCTAGACCCCAGCAGAGGCCAGCAAAGGATAGCATGAGACCCAGACAGGTGTCCCTCCCTAAGGTCTCTTGCAGGCAGGGTATAAAAATCCAGGAGCTCGGGCACCTAGGTGGCTCAGTTGGTTGGGCGACTGCCTTCGGCTCAGGTCATGATCCTGGAGTCTTGGGATCGAGTCCCACATCGGGCTCCCGGCTCAGCGGGGAGCCTGCTTCTCCCACTGACCCTCTCCCCTCTCATGCTGTTTCTCTCTCGCTGGCTCTCTAATAAATAAATAAATAAAATCTTAAAAAAAAAAAAATCCAGGAGCTCAGAGGATTCTAGGGCAGTGAAACAGCTCTGTACGTTACTATAATGGGGGATATGTGTCATTATACATTTGCCCAAACCTATAGAAACTCTGCGAGTGAACCCTAATATAAGCTATGAACCCTAGGTGATTACGATGTGCCAACGTAAGTTCTTTGATGGTTACAGATGTACCACTCTGGTGGGGGTGTGGCTCATGAGAGAGGATGTACATGTGGGGGGGGACAGGGGGTACATGAGAAATCTCTGCATCTTCTGCTTAATTTTGCTGTGAACCTAAAACTGCTCTAAAAATAAAAGCCTAAAAATATGCTAAAAATAATAATTAATAAAAAAATATATGCTAAATCTGAAACCCCTTCCCTATTGGATCTGCCTGCCCTGGAGGCTCTTCCTGCTGGCCCCAGCCACTGACTGGTCCTCATCCAGAAGCACCTGTTCACCTTTGTAGGTGCCACATCGGGTCTCCTGGATCCTTTTACAGGCCCAGCCAGGCTCCAGCCCTGAAACAGAGTCTCAACACCGAATCCCAGGGTAAGCTCTCTCCCTGCCGTGGTAACCACCGGGACCCAGATCTTCCTGTGTGGTTTGTGACAACACAATCTACCGCCATTCTTGTCCTCACTTGATCAAGGCACTAACTCCCAGGAGCCTCTGTCCTCTCCTTTATGAAGTGGAGATAGCGACCCTCATCTCATTCGCAGGTGCGTGAGGGGCTCAGAGCAAAGGAGAAAGGTGAAATCCCCTACGTTAGTGTTTGGAATTAGTGACCCTAGGAATGAGTAGGGCCTGGAAGTGGTGTGTTGGTCACTGTGCTCACCAGGAGGTCATGAGCATAAGAGGGTCCTGGCCACACCCAGGCAAACGGTTTCTTCTTCCCACAGCCCTGATTCTGTGCAGCAAGTTCTGGGATGCCTGAAATTTACCCATTATTCATTCATTCCTTTATCTTAAATATGCCTACTGCCCCACCTGTAATCCTTATTTAAAACACAGGCTGGAAAAGACAAAACTATAGGGACAGAAAATAAATCAGTGGTTGTCAGGGGCTGCGGGTGCGGAATATGAAGGGCACAGAGGAGCATTTTGAAGTGTGGGGACTGTTCTGTGTCTTGATTGTGGTGGCTTCATGACTGCATGCATTCGTCAAACCTTGCAGAACTGTGTACTAAAAAAGGTGAAATTCACTGTATGTGAATAAAAATATTTTTAAAATGCTGAGTCTGGCTGAACAACAGCAAAAAACCCCACAACCCATTAAATCAAAGGGGGTAGAAGCCAGAATAATGGGTATCTCTGAGAGTGAGGGATGGCATTGATGGGGGAGAGACACAAGGGGATCATCGGGCATTCTGGAGGTATCCAATCACTGAATCTGGGGGGTGCCTCCATGAGTGTGTGTGTGTGTGTGTGTATATATGTAAAAATTCACTGAGCTGAACCCTTCATATCAATGTCGGTGCATTACACCGCAATAGAAAAGAAAAAGGGACAATCCTTTCAAAAAGGAATTTTTAATTTAAAATGTCTTTTCTAACCAGACTTTGCTTACTTCACTACCTGCTTGGGAAGGGTCCCATCTCCTTTATCTGGGAGGAAAGAATCCAATCCACCTCAATGGTGGAGCTCCAGCTTCCTGGCAATACCACCTAGTGGATATTAAATGGGCCAGTAGATTGGGGTGATATTCAGAATATTTCACAGCTGGTATAAGCAACGTGTTGACCAGAAAACCAGAGGTCCACTAGTTCAGAGGCCCCCTGGAAACAGCCGTGCACGGTGCAGGTGCACACCAAACTGTTATCAGCCGTGTGTGCAACAGTTCCCAGCCTTGTCGGGCGTTCCTGCAACATCTTCCTGCGCAGTGGTATAGACTGACATGAGAAACTGAAGGGAATGAGCAGCAGTAGCTGTGGGCAAAATCTCTTAACTGAGCGCACAATGCTCCACGTGAATTCCCATCTGCCTCTGTATGTGCTCCTCACTCTCTTTGGGTTCTCCTCGGGATCGTCTCCCATTCTCTCCTAAAATTCCAAGCAGCTTTAAGAGCACCATAAAAACAAATAATTACGAAGAAAAGAATGTTTCGCTTCCACCCTTGAGGCCATTCTTGGGCTGTGAGTGACATCTTAGAACTACTCATATCCTCTTACTCTGGTGTAGACCCCAGTCTGCTGTTACTCCACCTGCCATTGCCAAGCTGGTGCCCTGGTGGGGCAGGCGAGACCCCACGAATCTCTTCATGGAGGTGGGAAGTACATGCAAATCATCCACCCTGATGGCGCAGCCCCAGACTTGGGCGGCTGGCTCACTTCTGTTGACCTCTGGGTGTTTGAACACCAAGTGAATCATGCCCGGCCCTGCTGCTCTGAGCCAAAGCCATTCAATTTGCCCATCATCTACTGGCCCTCGAGGCTGCCCAAGCATGAGGGGTCAGTGACGCTGAAGCAAGTGGCGCTCTGCCAAGTGGCGGCTTTGCTCTGTGGTGGCCCCTTGCAGGGACACATAGCAGCAGCAGCCATCTGGCAGGGCTCAGGGAAGAGAGGTCGGGGAGCGAAGTTGGGGCAATAAGAAAAAAATGAGTTACCTTGCTGAAACCTTTGGTGACCAAATTGACTGCAAGCTCACGGCTGATCCCGTCCACCCAGGCAACATCCTTTTCTCCGATGGGTTCAGAGAGGAAGGCTCTCAGCCTGGGAGACATGTGATCCATCTTCTGTAACAGCGGCGGGAGAACAGGGTTAGGAGGTGGCTGGCTGCTCACAGGGAGAGAGGACGCTGGGGGACTTCCCTGCCGAGGGATGGGGGCAACAGATGGCAGACTTCCTCCCACCACTCAATATTTATTGAGGACTTTGAGATGTCAGGGGCAGTGCCCTGCACTGAAGACCTCAACACATCCATTCCTGCCTGGATGGACTGAGAAATGTACAATGATGGCCCTGGATGAGACCAGTAAACTCCACCAAAGGGGTGCATTTAATGCTAAGAACTGTGATGGATTTCTCTCTGCTAATCTTCCTGCCGTCAGTGCTTAAAGAAACACTGCTTCTTAGGAGCAGAATTGTGGTTGGAGAAATGGGGATATGTTGGTCAAAAGGTGCAAAGGTTTACTTACATGGAATGAATAAATTCTGGACATCTGGTATACAGCACGGTAATAATAGTTAACAATAACGTATTGTGTACTTGAAGACTTCTAAGAGGTAGATCTTAAATTACATCTTACTACACACGCATACACAAAAGGATACCTATATAGAACTGACAGATCAGTTGTTTAGCTTGATCGAGGTGATCTTTTCAGTGAGTGTATGTCAATCAAATTGTGCACCTTAATATAAACAATTTCTTTAAGTCCAAGATTTCTCAATAAAGTTGTCTTAAAGGGAAAAAAAAGAAATCATTGCTTCTCTTAGCTAATTAACCCACCTTCTCTCTTTACTACCAACACTTTTGCATATTTTTATTTTAGCTTTTATCACACTCTGTAATAGTTGGTTGTTTAGTGACACATAACAGAAAACTCTTCAACTGGATCAACTATCAAAGAAGACATTATATAACTCAAAAGCCCAAGGGTAAGGATGGGTATGGTGCAATCAAGGCCACAACTCCATTTTCTCTGATTCTTTCAACTTTTCCTCCTTGTGTTGGCTTTGGTCTCAATTGGTTCCCCTCATGGCAGGGAAATGGCTGCTTTAGGACTCATATTCCCCAACACTGCACCCCAGAAGAAGAAGGAAAGAGAAAGAACGTGTCTCTGAGGCATTCCAAGCAGAGTCTCATCCAGTCCTGAAGGTCTGCATAGGGTTACCAGTGTGAGCTTAGTATTGACAGTACACTCCAGTCCTAGATCTGGGAGGGGAGTTAGCTTTCTTTAAACCATATAAGCTGTGAGATCAAGCATAGTTACCTGAACAAAATCAGGATTATTATCTGGAGAAGGGGAGATGAGTGTTAAACAGTAACCATAATACCCCACTATTGTCCACCCCTTTGGTGACCCAATATCTGTACATTTTTCTTCCATTACATAATCATCAGAAATACCCACACTTGGCTAATGTAGACTCACCTCCTCCCCCAGTGGGTGAAGCCCTATGACTCATCCAGTTACTGGATTCAGATTCAAGTTCATATTTTCTGGAAGATGCATCATATTCTCCATCATGTCTGGAAGTAGCAACTCATGGGATGGTAACCTATGAACTGAATTCTGAACTTCACCACCATCAACATAGTCAATAGTGAGGGGAAAAAAACCCCAGGCTATCTGCAATAAGAATTTCCAGAAGGGGAATTCTCCATTTGGAGAAGGGGACCATGGGAAACACATTCAGGTGTCATTGACCAACAGTACATGCAGTCTTTTTTTTTTTTTTAAGATTTTATTTATTTATTTGAGAGAGAGAGAATGAGAGAGAGCACATGAGAGGGGGGAGGGTCAGAGGGAGAAGCAGACTCCCTGCCGAGCAGGGAGCCCGATGTGGGACCAGTACATGCAGTCTTGAGGAAATATTGGAGATTCCTTGCCATGCTGGTAAAGCAAGTGCCCCATGCTGGTAAAGCAAGTGCCTTAGTCAGCCGAGATGGTGGCCCCCAGCTCTGCGTTTGGGTGTAGCTGCCCCGTCTGCTGCCTCACCAACATTTGAGTGGGCATGTGTCTTTCAAGGAGAGTCATTGCTTTAACAACACGCTTCTGGTTGGTACAAGTTCAGGGGTTGCCCCGAGGAATGGGCAATTTCAGGCAATTTCAGGCATTGGTTGCCCCTTTCTTTGGCAAGTCAGCATCCTTAAGAATCTCCTGGATTTCTTCTATTCAAGTCTGTGGGTTGGTAGTTCAAGCTGGATTTGGTCTCAGGTCAGAATCCTTGAGCTGGCAACAGGGCTCTGTGCCTTGCCCACTGCTCTACTCCCCAGATTAGTGGCATCTTCCTTCACCTCTGACGTGAAGGTACCCCACGTTGGCTCCCTACCCCCCAGCTATATCCTAGCTCCATGTTCGCAGTGAGTGGGCTGTCCCCTTCATCAAGCTTGAGGTACCTAAGACAAGATGCTCCATAGAGACCTGGGACCTGGGGACACTGTTTATCCAGGGCCCTGATCTTTTCTCTTGCTAAGCCACCTGATTTGCTGCCTGTGTTCTAACTTTAGCCAGTTACATCAGCTTTTCTGACCCAGCAGGGCTTGCTCATCAAAGTCCAATCACTTCAGCTGGCAGGCCACAGGCAGAAAGGCCCTCTCTCAGCAAAGCTGTGTTTTTATTCCTCCCCATTTTCAGATGGGCTACCCTCCTAAATTTGAGTCTCCTAGGACCTTTTTTTTTTTAAAGATTTTATTTATTTATTTGAGAGAGAGCACGAGCAGGGCAGGAAGGAGCAGAGGGAGAGGGAGAAGCAGGCTCCCTGCTGAGCAGGGAGCCCAATGCAGGGCTCGATCCCAGGACCCTGGGATCATGACCTGAGCCGGAGGCAGACACTTAACCGACTGGGCTACCCAAGTACCCTGAGTCTCCTAGGACCTTAACAAAGACTGCCAGAGGTAGCCAACATCCTAAGTATTTCCCACCATATCTCTCCAAATGTCCTATCTCCCTACACATAGGGTCTGTATCCTGGGGTTAAACAGGGAGAATCAGCCATTTTGCTAGCCCGGGATCAGCGTCTTCCTAGTTCAGGTGGACATTCTGCTGTTCTTCATGTGAATACCTCTTCTCAGCCAATCCACATTTGAGGTTTGCTTATTGTAGCATCCCCCTCTTGGTACCAAACTCTGGGTCAGTTTGGACAGTTTGTAATTCAAGGAACAGAAAAATCCAGTTCAAACTGGCTTACATAGTAAGAAGGTCTTATTAACATCTGCCACCAAGAAGTCCGGAGGTGGATCACATGCTTGAGGAAGGCTCTGGCTTGAGTTCCCTGCAACTCTCTTGGCTTGGCCTTCCTTTATATATGGGCTCAATCCTCAGCTTGACTCTTTCGTGGAAATAACTGGGCTGTGGCCAGACCTGGCATCACTTTTGCAAGGCGCGTCCCCCTCCCTCAAAGGAAAACTGTTTTTCCCTAGAAGCTGCCAAGGAATGTCTTCTCCAGTTCAAATCATCATATGTCAAGCCCAGATATGTGTCCTACCTCTGGTTCAGAAGGCAAGTCAGTGACCTACAGAGCACCCAGGCTGCATGGGTGAGGATGCGGCACAAAGTCAGGGTAGTTGCCATGTTAGTGGGGGTAGTTACTCCATACCATGATATGGGACAAGGTCAGAAGAGCAACCCAATGTCCACCATATATTCCCCAGTAGATTGTGAGGGCCACAACTGCCTCCTAACGCCCTTTGCTTCCCACCCCAGCCCCAGGCAGGCAAAGGGCAGGGACTCGGTGACGGAAGTGACTGATCCATCCATTGCTTTCAGATATCTCCAGCGCTGGTCGCCTCACCTGTTCCCATGCTCCCAATTCTCCACACCTAGAGTCTAGCTCCCCTCATAAGGCTTCCTGCCCCAGGAGACATTCTGTGACACTTAGGGACACAAACTCTCCAAGAAGTGATGAATCTGAAGGCACTGATTGTAGGAGTTAGGAGGCGTCTAAGAGACCTTGATGTGTCAGCTGGTTCGAGGAAGGGGAGCACAAGGCAAGACTGGTTGTCCAGGGGCCCCAATACTGCAGGTCTCAAATACACAGTGGTGTGAGCTGTGATTATTATTATGGGGGAGGGGTCTCCATCTCTCCAGCAGCTAAATATGAAGATCTCTCTTAATCTGTGAAAATACGCTGAAGGGTGAGCTCTGCAGCCCCCATCACCTCCTGGGATGAGGAGTCGGGATTTGGGGTCCAGCTTCAGGCTGGGCTGTAGGAGATCAGGGTTTCTGAGCAGGAGGAAGAGCCCCAGAGCTCTTTCACCAGCTTTTTGGGGAAAATTCCATTCACTATCCACGTTGGCCATCTGTTAAGTTAAACATCTCTGCCCATTAAATGAATAAATGGAAACTACAACATTGCTATCAATGCAGCAGCAGCATCAAAGACAGGTAATGATTAGCAACACCTTGTGTGTATTTGCTTTTCTCACACACCTGATCTCACTTTGATCCTTGGAACACTCTGGAGCATAGGCAGCAGGAATTTTTATCCTTCTGAGGATCCACTGAATAGAAGCCTTCACATTCATTAGGATGCCTTTGTCTGAGGCAGTGGTTCTCAACTGGGGGCAAATTGTACCCCCCCTCCGCCAAACCCCAAATTGGCAAACTGTCTGGACACACTTTGGGTTGTCAAAACTGAGGGAGGAGAGCTATTGGCATCTAAGGGTAGAGGTCAGGGTTGCTGCCTAATGTCCTGTAATGCACACAACAGCCCTCCCACAACAAAGAATTACCCGGCCCCACATGTTGATAGGTTCAAGGCTGAGAAACCCTTGGCTAAAAGTAACAGAAAACCTGACTCAAATGGTCTTAAAAAATACTTTTCTAATCTCACATAATCCGAAATCCATCGGTGTGGTGGACCCCAGGATCTTGTCAGTCAGCGTCTGTGTGTGGGTGTGTGTGTGTGCGCGCGTGTCCATCCATGTGTGTCAAGAACCAGGCCAGCTGTGTCCAAGGTCCCAAGATGCATACAAAATTTGCTTGGGTCCCATCCAGACATGAAAACTTCCAAAGGAAGGACAGGCCATTTCTTCTTGGGTGTTCCCAGAACCTCTTCAGTAGAA